CAAAGATGTGACATTAGTGGATTCAAAATTCATTGAGGCCATTGATGATTCCTACGATATATTCCTAGACGACAAAGATGGCTTCGACTTTGATGATGAATGCTTCAGTAAGGTGTTTAAGGAGAAACGCACAAAAGTCATATTTGCACCAATGTGTGTCGAGCAACGGTTGTGGATACCACTTGAGATTAATTTGGCCTCACGATCAATCCATATCTGGGACAATGGATCATCATTTTTCAGTGATAAAAAGAAACAAAAACAGGTCGAAGCGTATGCTAGATCAATGCCATATATTGCATAGAAGAAGTTTCCAATGGTAGAGAGGACTGATGACTCTCCTTTTAATTCCTCTTCTTTCCGTGTCATTCACAAATCCTGCTTTACACAGGTAATATTTGTAATTAGTAAAAGGCTTGCGAGGTTAGATAAGGTATTTAGAAGGTTTTAAAGAGTTTTTATAAGGTTTATCAAGAGTTTATTAGGTTTTAATAAGGTTTTTATATAGTTTTATAAGGTTTTATATGGTTTTTAGAAGCTTTGATAAGTTTTTTTTTATATTTTTTGAGAATGTCTTGGTTTTGATGTTATATTATATGTAAATACTGTTGACTTTTCAGTTTGTTTTTTGTTTTTAGCTTAAGAAGATTGAAGATAGTGGTGTGTACATGGTAAAGATAATGGAAAGCTATGCAATGTCTAAAAGGACTAATGACGAGTTCCATGAACACAGCATTGCAGATATCCGAGAGAAACTTGCGGTTGACATATTTGCTGAATTAGGAAATTCATAGGTTAGTATGAGTATTTTTTTTTTTTTAATATTGTAGGATTTACAACAGTTTAAAACAGTTTCCTAACGTTATTCACATTACCTTGCGTAGGACTATGGATGACTGCTAAGGAGTATGGAGAACTAGGATATATTTTATTTTACTTTTGGAAACTATGTCGATTTGAAAACACTTGTTGAAAAAATTATCTTTTGAATACTTTTATCTTTGTTGAGAATATTATAACACTTCAATCATCTTTTAAAACCATTACAAAATGTTCTCAGTGGATTTCCAAGAAAAATACAATATAACACTTCAATCATACTCGTGCTATTTCAATACTAAAACTATAATTGCGAGTTACGCGGTTTATAACCTTGTTTTAAATACAAGGGTTCTTACAAAAGGTTTGTAAAACAATTTTGATTTCATTAATAAAGCTTTACAAGGGTTTTAAACGAATTTGAAATACAAAGGTTTTTATAAGGGTTTTAAAATGTTTATATAAGGCTTCTCACAGAAAAAGAAAAAAAACCCTTTTAAAATGTATTTTACAAGATACATCGCTTGCAACAAACTGATATGAGCTAGTTTGATCCTGAAAAATAAAGACGTAATAAGTTAATAATGATTTGAAACAATATTTTTTTTAAAGGGTTTTTATAAAGTAGTAGATTACCTGAGTACGATTTGGACAAGAAACATCAATAGCCCCAAAAGAAGTTGTTTGGTTACATATAACTGGCTGCTGATTAATGATTGTAGACGTTCTAGATACCTCAGTGGAAGTAAAAAGACCAGAAGTAGCAGCAGGATGATTAGGCATTGTCGGAACCTGAAAGTACAAATTCAGTATCCGAATAATAGATGAGTTTTCAAACAACTTGTCTTGTTTATAATGTTTTAAAAGGGTTTTAAATGATTTTTATAAGGTTTTCAAAAGTTTTAAACAGTAATTTTAAAAGAGGTTTACCTGAGAATGAGAAGCAGAAGATACATCGCTTGCAACAAACTGATATGAGCTAGTTTGATCCTGAAAAGTAAACAGGCAGAAATAGTTTACTACAGTCACTAAAGATTGTAATGATTTATAAGCAAAATTAAGAAAGAGATCAATAAAATATACCTGCTCAACTATGACACAGTTATCCTCTACAGTAACACATAAATGAATACTTTGTGTTTGTGCAGAAATTCTCATAAAAGTTGCCAGTTGCCTATCATTTCTAATAAAAATCGGATGACTACCTAGTGTTGCAGTCATAGAAGGCAACTGGAAACTAAGCTTTAAAGAGTGTTTCTGATTATCAATTGCAAAATCTTCGTATAGAATTTTGACCAAATCAGTAAAACTAGTTCCCTCATCAATACTAATTAGAGAAACTCCCCTCTCATCATCAATTTCAAATTCCCATTTAATATTATGCTTCAACTTCCATAATCCACAAACTGAATACAGTTCAAGCATCTCTAAACTAAGTCCTGCGAAAACAAAGAAATATCACAATGAAAACGTGGTCAGTAAATGAATTATAAGGATTTTAAATGGATTTTAAAAGGTATAAGAATAGAAACAACAATGAAAAAAAATCCTTCAAAATTCAACAACAGATAACAAGTACATGGAAGAAGAACAATATTGGTTGAAAAAGTGATGAGATCTAATCAAGTAGTGAACAGATCTGGGAAACGAACCAGGAAATATGTAATTAAGAAACGAAGGCGATAAAGAGAAGAGACGAAGGCGACGCCGAGAAGAGACGACGTCGATGGAGAGAAGAGACGACGGCGACGCCGATGCCGAGAAGAGACGACGGCGAGAGAAGACAACGGCGAGAGAAGACGACGGCGAGAGAAGACGACGGCGAGAGAAGACGACGGCGACGCCGAGAAGAGACGACGCCGATGCCGAGAAGAGACGACGGCGAGAGAAGACAACGGCGAGAGAAGACGACGGCGAGGGACGACGACGGCGAGAGACGACGGTGAAGATCCAAAACAAAACGGCGAAGAAAGGAGAAGAGAAAGGAGAAGAGAAAGGAGAAACTGTGTTTAGGTCATTTAGGAGGGTAAAATTGTCTTAAAAGTCTTTAAGAGGGTAGTTTTAAAAATGCTTCCCTTATAGGGGTATTTTTAAAAGGAGATACCCCAAGAGGGGTATATCTAAGAAATTCTCTATAAACTTCAAAAACTATTTAAACTTTGTAAATCAATTTAAAAACCATTTAAAAACCCTAGTAAATATTTTTAGAACCATTTAAAAGTCCTTGTAAATTTTTAAAAAACCCTTTAAAAACCTTTAAAAACCCTTGTAGACTCTTTGAAAACCCTTATAAACTTCAAAACCCATATAAAACCATTGTAAATCCTTTAAAACCATTTAAAAACCCTTTTAGAATCTTTAAAAACCCTTATAAACTTCTAAACCCCTTATAAAATCATTGTAAATCCTTTAAAACCTTTAAAAACCCTTATAAACTCTTAAAATTATTTAAAGACCCTTGTAAATCTTTTTAATACTATTTAAAGACCCTTGTAAATTTTTAAAACCATTCAAAAACCTTTGTAACTCCTTTAAAATCTTTGTAAATCCTTTAAAAATCCTTTTAAAAACCTTCTATTTTTTGATTCTGAAAACAGTGTTTCCGTGAAAAAAATTTGGCCAGAAAATTTTTAGCGGAAATAATTCAATTTTTCATTTTGTTGACTTAATTAATTTTCAACTAGGGGTAAAATGAATATTAAAATTAAGAGAGGGTATAAATGAAAATGGCCAAAAAAATCAGGGCATTAGTAAGTATTTCTCAAAAAAAAAAAAATCTAAATGGATATATATTGTAGGAAGTAATTTGATGGTTAATAATGAAAATATGAAAACTTAGAAAATAACAACAAGTTAAAGTCTGAATTAAGCATGTAGGCTTCGGCTTAACCGAGCCATTCTTATTTTGGCACATTCTTAGGGGTTATATACGTTGGAACATTCTGTGCTTTGAAAGTAAAGTCAAGTCAATAATCTCAATTTGGTAGTTAACGTTCATTGTGCAGTGATACATAAAACAGAGGCCCTGTTCTTTAGGGGATCGTGCGACTCATAGGTGCGACCCTTTTGAAAATAAGATATATATTATTATTATTTATAATTAAAAAAAGGTAAAAATGTAAATTAAAATAATAACTAGAAATTGAATTATTGAATTAGATCTATTTCTTCTCTGTAAAGCTCTGTAAAAGCTCGTCCATGGCTTTTTAACAAATTACAGTCGCAAGTAGACAATTAATCATGAGTTTGTGTCGCCCATGATTACGGCGACTTCGGAATCGTCACAAAAGAATCGCACGACTGGAAGTGAAGAAGAAAAGAGAAAGAAATGAAGGAGAGATGAGGGTTGTTTATTAATCATCAATCGCTGCGGCTGCGATTATGCCCCGAACAGGGCCTCTATAAAAAGGTCTATTTCTCGAAAACAATTAAAACTGTCGAATACAAAACCAAATTGCATTGATGAACACATTACACATACTTCCATCTTTCAACTGTCTTTTCGAACACCAAAAAATATTTAAATTGATATTAAAAATTATTAAGAGAGGACTACATGTTATAAACTATATATAGTAATATTTATTTATAACATAATTTTGAACAAAATATTATTCAGCCAAAACAAACAACTACAGGATTTAGTTTATTCACATTACGCAGCCATAATTATAATTTAGTTACCAAAAGTCAAACGTTTGTCTAAAATAACATAATTATAATAATATTTATTTATACCATAACTAGTTATTGATCCGGGCTTAGTTTATAATTCTTTTTTATATTTTGAAGATAGTCAAATTATAACTATTTTCTCTTTAATTACTATCTTTTAATACTCAAATTTGGATTAAAAGTATTTGATTCAATCTATAAAATATCATTTTTTTCTCTTTCTGATCATCTTATAAACTAATATTTTACTTTTAGTTTTATTTTTCATGTTTAAAATTTTATATATACAATTACATAAAGGTTGTTTTATTCTACGATGAAATTAAAATTTACTTCCATTCTAAAATCCAGTAACATATTTAAACTTTTAAACTATTTATAAACTATAATTAGTTTAAAATAAAAGTTGAATTATATTACTACCACTAATAAAACATTACAATATTGTTTTTATTATTTGAATATTTCAATTATTTTATATAATTCATTTTATTTATATAAATTTTTTATTAATTATAAGTAACATAAATATAAATTAAATACATATTTTAAATTTACTTTTGTGTAAAAAGAAAAATATTGTTTAGGTGAATAGTTAATGGCATCATGAGAAGAGAAAAAAGTTAATTTTCATTTATCATGTGTTTAACAAACTTACGTACTACTTCCTAAACAAATAATTATTTGTGTTTTATTTAAATTGTAAAACCATTATATTATAATTTTTTAAGTGAACGCTGTGGATATTGACAACATTGTTGCCCGAGACATTGGATCTGCTTGTAAGCACGACAACGCCACTTCCATCATCTTCACAAGCTTCTCTCTAATCTCCGCCTCTGGTTCTCCTAAACGCTCATCGGAAATGCTTCTCAACGACGGAGTTTCTCCCGGAGACGAAGATGACAAAGCCGAAACCAAATCTCCCGGATGTTTCCCTTTTATCACTTCCAGCGTCAATACTCCAAAGCTATACACATCGCATTTCTCCGTCACCTTCATCGCGTAAGCCAATTCTGTTGAGAATTTTCAGTTTCATGAGCTCAATTTCAATTTTCAATTATCGTTGATTTAGATTTACCTGGAGCGACGTAGCCGTAGGTTCCGGCGACGGCGGACCAATTTGAGGAATCCATCTTGAGAAGCTTCGCTGTACCGAAATCGGAGATCTTAGCTTTGTAATCGTTATCGAGAAGGATATTGCCGCTACTAATATCACGGTGGACGATTGGAGTAGTTCGGTCATGGTGCATATACGATAACGCGTTTGCAACACCTTTGATGATGCTTATCCTTTTGGTCCAGTTGAGTTGCTTAGCTTCTTTGTCGTCAGCTAACAGTTTGTTTAAACTTCCTTTTTCCATGTACTCGTAGATCAGAAATGTGTGGCGGCGGTGGGAGCAGAAGCCGAAGAGCTTCACGACGTTGCGGTGACGGATCTCTGTTAACGCTCTTACTTCGTTTAGGAACTCTTACTTCACCACTGGCTTTGATATCTCTTCGTTCATTGTTTGGTGTAGCTTTTTCACTGCTACGGTTGCGCCTGGGAGGTTTGCTTTGTAGACTTTGCCGTATCCTCCGATTCCGATCACGTATTTTGGATCAAATTCATTTGTGGATTGGATGATATCTTGGTATTTGACTTTGCCATCGTAGCAAAAGATGGACAGAGTCTGTCCACTATCAGCATATGAGTTGTTATTTCCAATGTGTTTTTTTCGTTTTCGAAGGTAGTAGGTAAATATACCTGCACATATAGAGAGAATGACGAGTGCCCCTAGGATCGACACTAGTATCCAAACAATAAGGTTGCCATTCTTCTTTTTCTTGAACCCGGGGGAAGTGATAGGGCATGATTTCAACCTTTGTCTAGGAATATTACTGCATAAGCCTATGTTTCCCTCCAGTGAATCTGCTGTTGCGTTTTCAAACGCGGGATTTTCTGGTAGCAGACCCTCGAGTTTATTGTTTGATATATCGATATATGTCAGCCCTTTCATGCCCTGAAAACTTGTGGGAATGATACCGGAAAGATTGTTGTGTGACAGGTCGAGCTTGTTAAGGCTCTGTAAGGAGCTGAGTTGTGATGGGATTTCTCCATCTAGCTGGTTGTAGCTGAGATCAAGATGATTTAACTGAGTAAGTTTTGTTAGTCGGGGAATGCATCCGTTGAACATGTTCCTGCTCAGGTTCATGTCATGAAGCTTTAAAAATGAATCAAAGGTTTGTGGGATCTGACTAAAATTGTTTGAAGATAAGTCCAGATACTCAAGCATGGTTAAGACACTCAACCTTGCGGGAACTCTTCCAGATAGCTGATTCCCATTAAGTAGTAGCTTTGACAAACCTGTGAGTTTTCCAATTGATTCTGGAAGCTCACCAATTAGGTTGTTGGTAGACAGATCCAACTCAACTAGTTGTGTCATGTTCCAAGTCTCTGGTGGGATAACACCTGTGATGTTGTTGTTTGACATGATCAAGGCACCTAGTTTTCGACT